GCATTCATCCTGTATACACATACCCAGTCCCGTACATGCACAGTCCACAAACGGCTTACGTCGCTCTCAGCTCCAACACAAAAATGTATATATATATACAAATGCATGCATATTATGCACACACATACGTGCATAGAAACAGTGAAAACGGCACGTGCAATTATTGTTAATAATCCCAGCCACCCAACCTCCACCAGAGAAACTGCGCAGCGAAAGAATTACAAAAAAAAAAGATTATTGTATAACATCTACCTGCAAAAACTTGAAAACATCTGAATGGCCCTTATTCCCACGCTTTTTAATTGGATCTTATAATTAATTACACCGCAGGTCCCTCGAACAACAACACAATTTTTTACTAATTATCAATTATTTTACCTCTGCACCCCAAAGACATATAACTTTACGATACGAAAACACCTCTTCGTTAAATTAAATTATCACAAATGTATTCCTAATTGTATAACTTGTATTTCCAATATATAATTCAATTTCAACATTCAACGAATTAATTAAGAATAAATGTTCATGTATAATTTGCAATCCTTATGTATTCTCATCAATGTTATATTTTTATTGAAAATTTTGGTAATCACTTAAACTCATTGGAAAATGATCAAGCATTAATTTCTTAGGGATTAAGAATTAAATCCATAATTAGACATGACTGTTTTAGTAATTGTATATGTCAGTTACTTAAGTAAATTAATAGTTATATCAATAAAAAAAATTTACTCCATTGTACAAGTAATATATATTGATTATCTTTGATAAATTAGTAGACTTAGTAATTAGAAATCTGTTAATTGGATTCTAATATTGCGGAATAGTGTGTTTTTGTGATTTAAACAAACACAAATGTAAAACTTGAATCTCGTGTAAGTCTTTCTATAATTCAATTTGTATTATAATGTTTATAATATTACAATTTATACCGTTATTAATTTATATAAATATATAATTAAAGCTGATTATTGATGAGACACATCTTGAAATTAAAAGTAGACACTTTTATTAATTTTGAATAAAGTTAATAATAAATAGGAATCTTCTTCCATAAAAGAATCAATACGTAATGTTATTTATTAGCTAATATTTGTAATGCAATAACTGTTTTATTTAATTTCTTAAAGTTTTTTTTATTATTTTATAATATTTAAAACTAAGGTTGATAGATCATTGGTCAAAATAAAGACCAATTAATTAGTTTTTGTCTGCAAATTAAATCAAATGAACGCAATGATTAAGTTCGTATATATGGAATTAATAAACAAAATTAAATAAGAAAGATAATTTAAGAAAATCTGACATGACAAATATGTATTTCCTCTTCGTAAATAACTTTGTTATAAGTTTGATATGTCCTTTAGATTCAGTTTCATCTAGATTTTTTGCAATAAAAACAATTACATAATCACAGCATTTTGTTTATAAAATATATTATGACGTCTTTGTTAAGAAAATTTAATAACTCAAACAAGAGTTGATTTAATAAAGAATCTATCATTTTAAATACTTATAATTCAAATCTGGACAGATATACGGGCGTTTCAACTGAAAACAAACTTTGTGTGCAAGGCAGTCATAAAACCGATTTGGACCTATTCAACTATGGGGATCTGCGTGCAAATCTAGCATAGACATCATCCAGAGATTTCAGTCAAAGACGTTGAGGCAATAGACCAGTCCTCCCTGGTTCACCACCAATGACTATCTACCAGTCCACTGGTATCGCCTTCGTTAAAGAAGAGATTTCAAAAGTCGGCACCAGATATCGTCATCGGCAGGAGAATCATCCGAGTCAACTAACTGTAGAGCTGATCAACACAAATGGTGATTTACGTAGACTGAAACGAACAAACCGCACGATCTTCCTACTTGTTTCTGATGTAATATAATGTACTTTGTTTATTATTTGTGTATATTTTATCAATGTAGTTTTGTCATTGGTTCAATCTGGAACATTGTTTATTTCCAATTTCGTTAGCCAGAATTAAAGCTTATTATTATTATTTTCTTTGTATTATAATAGATTGTTTGATGTAAAAAATAATAATAATAAAAAAATATTATTTCATTTATTGTAAATTGAGATATTATTATACAATTATCATTAAAGGTTGATTTAAATGTTTATTTTTTAATCCATTAAATTATTGATTTTGTTTTGTGTACATCTTGAAACTAAAAGTGAATGTACCTATGTAAAATCAATAAATAAAGTCGCTATTGTTTACCACTCAAGGAAATGTGTACTCAGGAAACGTCTAGTTAATCAGACGATGTGTGTGCAATTAAATAACAGCTCGTATTTATCTCATTTTCCTTTCAATGCAAACACGAAAAGTGCTAAAACGTCTGTCGCATTAAAACGGCGCAAGTGTGAAAATTTATAATCACGACATAACATTTAAAATTGAGCTATTAACTATTTCGTATTTACGCACGACGCCGATGTGAAAACATAATATTTCGTTTATGCAAATCCGCGCTTTCCCCCTGTAATTACGTTGAATTTTTATTAAATAGTCTTATTAAAAAAATCGGCAAATAGGAAAGGCTGAATTAAATATAATTATATGTTATTGAAACCTGTACAGCCATAAATCTATGCAGGCATGAATATATTAATAATTATTCCGAATAAATGGTTATTACGCACTGGAGCGTATATAGTAGTGATCATTAAGTGTGAGATGTTTGCAGCTATTTATAACAAAATCCCCTTGTTTATGTAACAGCGATTCTTTTCACAGCACACTTACCTATGCATTATTCTACTATTACTATTTTTGTCCTACAATGTTATCCCCTTAAATACTTATTATAGTATCATATTATATTAAAAATACAATTTTAAATCATGTGGATTGAGCCATTTCCGACATTGACTAGATAAGTTAAGTACTAGTTCATTTACTTATAAAACCAGGCTTCCTTTGTATTTATTACATAATCTATTAGATAACTAAACTAATCAACTAGTGAAAAAAGGAAACATAGAAAAACAGAGGTATTTTATTAATTTACTAGAATTTAGTAGTTTATTTTTGTCATCTGTATATTTTTGTTGTCACGATAGTGAAAAATCACAAGAGAGTAGAACCTCGCTTAACCAAAATTCCAAAATTTCCGGATTTTTACTCGTGTAGTGAAACATATTCAAAAATACAAATAATATGTGTACACAAGTTTTAAAAATGATGTAGAAGGCGCGCAATCCGGGACGTCTCTTCTCATCTCACTCGTTATGCGAAACGTCGCTCGTTAAGCGAGTCATTTTTCTTACAATTCATTTTGATCATTATGCGAGGTGCTCATCAAGCGAGGTTCCACTATATTGCTTTCCTTCTGGTGGTTACTTTTTGCTTTTTGTAGTACATTTTATATTAAAAATAACATGTATGTTAAAAATATCATGCATTATGTAGATGAATTATATAACTATTGCATTTTCAGTTAATATTGCCTTAGACATCATTATGAGAAAATATAAAGTCTAATGCAATTAAACACACTTAGTTATTATTAGAAAAAGATATTCAATTCCAATTTGAAACTAGATTAACCATGTTTCTTACTTCGGAAAAGTCTTTTTAATTAAATTTAACATTTTTTCGGTCAAGTAAGTGTAAAGTTACTACGAATGTCATATGTACACCTAATTTAATATAAAAAATGAAGGATTCTTATGTTACCTTCTGGTGGTTACATTTTGGTTTCTACAGTAAATACATGATATATTATAAATAATTGATATATTAAAATATCATGCATTATGTAGATGAATTGTATAACTATTGCATTTTCAATTAATATTGCCTTAAACATCATTAGGAGGAAATATAAACTCTAGTGCAATTAAACACAATTTTGTTATTATTAGAGAACCTATTCAATTCCAATTAGAAATTAGATTAAACATGTTTCCTACTTAGGAATAATCTTTTTAATTAAATTTAACATTTTTTCGGTCAAGTAAATGTAAAGTTACTACGAATGTCATAATTACACCAAATTTACTATAAAAAAAAATCAAGTATTCCTATGTTACATTCTGGTGGTTACTTTTAGGTTTCTATAGTAAATACATTTTATATTATAAATAATTGGTATGTTAAAATATTATGTATTATGTAGATGAATTGTATAACTATTGCTTTTTCAATTAATATTGCCTTAGACATCATTGGGAGGAAATATAAAGTCTAATGCAAATAAACATAAGTTACACCAAATTTACTATAAACAAAATCAAGTATTTTTATGTAACCTTCTGGTGGTTACTTTTTGGTTTCTATGCTAAATTCATTTTATATTAAAAATAACTGGTATGTTAAAAATATCATGCATTACGCAAATAACTATTGCATTTTCAACTAATATTGCTATAACGTCTATTCTATCGTCTATTAGTGATTAGGAGGAAACATAAATTCTAATGCAATTCAACACACTTTAGTTCTTATTAGAATTATAATAGAAATTGCATAGAATCTTAAATATGAGTTAAAAAAAATTAAACATGTTACATAATTCAGAATAAGTACTATTTAATATTTCTTCTTTTTATTTTGTATTATACCTGTTACATAAATATAATCTAAATTAAATCATGTATTATAATATTATAATTCAATTGACAAAGAACTATGTTGCTGTACGTCTTAAGATCTTCCTATTTGTGCCTACAATAAATAAAATATTTTATTAATAAAATATTATATGTTATGTAATGTATTTGTTAAATTTTAAAAGACTCGTTAAATCTTTTACATTTTCGAAGTGACGCAAGTAGTTCTTCTATTTTACATTTGACAAAACAATTTACAATGAATTTATCTTCAAATCAATGCAATTGTAAGGAGCATTAATTAGTGTAATGTTAAAAACAATTACATAATTTTAATAAATAATGAACAATAACTATAAAAGAGTATGTTAAAATTAATGAACACTCCATTTTAGTCCATTGGCAACATTGTGTATTTGATTTTTGAAAAAAGTTAGGTTAATGTAAACACGTTGTTTTAAGTTTCCCTTTAATTTCTACTAATTTTAAGTGTAATTATTCATTAGTTGTATGTACACCTAATCAATACAAAATAAACATTATTAATATTCTGTTTACAGTAAAATGAGCGAACAGAATGAATTTAAAAAGCATATGTCCTGCGCTTTGGATATTGGTGAACCATTGAATTTATTGGCTAGCTTAACTACTGCTTGTAATGAAGGTTATCACTTTGTGGTAACCAAACTTATTCATCCTAATCATGAGAGAGATCTGTACAGCAAAGATGCACCAAGAGTTATTGGTCGAACTGATAGACTTTTGAGCTCAAACGATTGGAACAAACTTATAGTTTGTGAGTAAGATAATAAAACACAATGTATGATATTCTATGATTTTTTTTTTATATACAGGTAGGTTATCGAAGCAGTTTCAAATTGATAGTGAGATTGAGAATATTCGAGAGCATGACAAAAAACTGTTATCTCAAGAATTGGGATTTGCTTGCCACTTGTACATTCCTGCTATACTAATTAAGCTAGTTCAGCGAGATAATAAAAATTTGGCTCACTTGCTGAATTGCAAGCTGCAGGCTGGTGCTAGTTTTCAGGTTTGGGTAGAAACTCCTATGGTGAATCCAGCAAAGAAATCACCAATTGTGAATAATGAGGATTGTGATGATATCTGGGAATGGTGGAACGATTTCAGGAGATATGGCAATTACCACAAACGTATTGGATTGGCTCTGGTGATGCCAACAGATGGTTGTATGCTGGATGACTTGGAAATCAAAAGGTGGGGCGGGGAACCAGTGAAGGCAATTATAATTCCCACTTGTCTCTTTATTTCCAATCAACACAAGCAGCCTGTCTTGCCACGTGTTTATCAAGAGATCATCAAACAATTTCTACACCTGGATGTGCAATACATTATTTCAGGGCCAAGATTTAAACACACTTATCAGCAGTATTGCAGCTACATGGGTTATTTGGGAAAGAAGTTGTATGATCAAAGTGTGATTGGAGAATTTTCTATGGGGTATACTAAGTATACTTTTTTAATTCATTGTTTTTAATTATTGTTTTATATTGTAGTTGCGAGGATTTCCTGCAAAGCCCTTTGCAGCCATTAACAGAACATTTGGAAACTCCTATTTACGAAATTTTTGAGAAAGACTCGATCAAATACGTTTTATACCAACAAGCGATTGAGAAAGCTTTATGTGATATAGCAAAAAATATAAGTCCCATTGTCGTTATTGTAGTTGGCGCAGGAAGGGGACCTTTGGTCCAAGCTACTTTGAACGCCTCCATAATTACTCAACGTAAAGTAAAAGTGTATGCAGTTGAAAAGAATCCCTATGCTGTTAACACGCTCGAAGAAAGAATTGCCAATGAATGGAATGATCAAGTTACATTGTTCAATGAAGATATGCGGGTTTGCGAACCTCCAGAACATGCCGATATCCTTGTTTCTGAGCTCTTAGGTAATTCCATAATTATTTTAATTGCTCTATTACATTATCATCAGATTGATATAAATAATGTTATATAACTATATTTAGAAAAGTCTGATACAAATTTTGCAAAAAAAAAGTATCTCAATTTTAAGGTTCCTTTGGTGACAACGAATTGTCTCCGGAATGCTTGGACGGAGCCCAAAGGTTTTTGAAGCCGAATGGTATTTCCATACCACAATCTTATACATCTTATCTTGCACCTTTGCAAAGTATTAAGCTTTACAATGAAATCGGAATGTCCAAAACAGCGGATAAAACATTGCAGGTCCTTTATGAAACACCCTACGTTGTGCATTTAGTGAATGCATACCAAATTACTAATGCAAAAGTATGAGAAGCTCAATTTTCAAATTATTTTGTTTGTAAGACATTATTTTGTAGGATCTATTTGTGTTCGAACATCCCAATAGAAGCGATATGATTATAAACGAACGAATGCGCACATTGAAATTCACTGCAGAGCAGAATTGCGTGTTGACAGCATTCGCAGGATTCTTCGAAAGTGTCCTTTACAAAGATGTTATTTTGAGTACAAATCCTGTTACCCATTCCAGGAATATGGTCAGCTGGTTCCCTATAATGTTTCCACTTCCCGTAATATATTTGTTAATTGTATTGATTCAAGTTTTATTTACTTAATTTCGTTTTAGTTTCCGGTACAAGTTAAAACTAATGAACAGATCGAAGTAACTTTCTGGAGGGCAGAGAATAACGAGAAAGTCTGGTATGAATGGTGCCTTAATTCGCCTTTTATGGGAAGCATAAGCAACATCGCTGGAAGATCCTACTTTATTAAGAAGCATTGAAATGATGTAGCTTTTTTACTTTTATATATTAGCTTTGTACACAGGAGGAATAGAATATTTTACGTTTCCTATTATTATACATTGTACTCAAAATAATAAATCAGTATACAATTTGATGCTTTAATTACAATGCCCTAAATTATTGAGTATAATAATAATTTTAATGATACAAAGACACCCAAATATAAGGTTGATATTTTTTGTTTAGAGCAGGCAAGGTCAATCTTTCCTAGGTTTGGAGCTAAATTATCATTCAGTTTCCAAATCCAGCCCTTGAATCAAATTATTAAATGAATTCAAACGAGTTGCTACTTATTTCATTTATTTATAACGTACATAATATCAAAAGAAGTAGAAGTTTGTTCATATCTGGTTTAATCTAAAATTGTTTTTTTTGTGAGTGTGTTATAATATCAACTAACACTGTATACTTTATAATTACAAATAGTAGCAAATGGTAATAAAATACAGTGGAACCTCGCTTAACGAGCAAAATACATGAAAAATGACTCGCAACATCGTAAATTACATTAGGTTATGTGGGGAAAATTGCTTCACTACGAGTAAAAATCCGGAAATTTTGAAACGGATTAAACTCGTTAAGCAAGGTTCCACTGTACATTGTTAAGTAGCGTGCACCATCTTCATCTTTTCTTCTATCGCAGAATGAACCAACCTTACCAGAAATAAAAAAAAAACGAAATAATTAGTTATTATTCATGATATTTATACCTAATTCCATTTTACTTCTCTTATAGCTGTCTTCTTGTGGCTTCTTCTACGGGGACAAATTTGTAAGGGTTTTTAAATTTTGTATAAAAAAAATCACACATAATATACTTGAACACAAGTTTGGTAAATGATGAGAAAATGCATAATCTGAGACTTCTCATCACTCGTTATAGGAAAATTCGCTCGTTAAGCGAGTCATTTTTGTTAGAATTTGTAAAGCGAATTACTCCTTAAACGAGGTTCCACTGTTCAACATAATAATCATATATGAATACTGCATTTCATATAACTCAATTTAGTTAAATTAATACCTATTTTTTTTTTAAAAGTAGACTTAACAAATAAAAGAAAGTCAAATGGTTTTCTTTAAACGTAGCAAATGATCAAGAATATAATGCTATTTCGTACGAAAAAAAACAAAGTTTGAATGCATTATAGAAATATGAATTAATACTGACCACTTGGTTTATTTTCGAACTGAAATGGATCAATGTTCCTTACGTGAAAGGTCAAAGAGAATTTAAAAATCGTCATAAATAATCGACATTTTTTTTTAAATTATTCTGAACATATGGGAAAATTGTTCAGAGTTCGGATTTGAAGATAGTTTAATTCTTACATTTTATTCTGCTTTTCAACAAACGAAATTTGAAAACTTTATTATAATTATATAACATAATATAGAATTGTAAGTTTACCAAATTAACGTAACTTAAATTGAACAAAAAGAAATGTTTCTTCTCAATACATAGATACACAAGACAAGATGATTTGTATAATAAAAATGACTACAATTGATTACTTTCTGTAAACCTACTATTTTTTTATGAATCTCTAGAATAACAGAATCAATTGGTAAACTTCATTTTACGAGTTTCCATTAGATCTTTGTCCGGTTTCAAAACTTCATAAAAAGTAATTAAGAATTGAAGCATAGGAACGAATCAACGCAATCTTGCCATTAGTGAATCAAGTTATAAAAAAGTTTATTTGTCTAATGAATATTCTAAAATTTGATTTCGTAATATAAAATTACAATTGAATTTGAATCGAAGTAGCGAAGCGTCTCCTCTCAAAATGTCAGTGTTCAAATTATATTACAATTGCGTGAGTCCACCATGTAGAACGGTGCATATGGTAACGAAGGCATTAAAGCTTAATGTGAAATTAATCGACGTCGATATATTGACACAAAGATATTTGGAACAATTGCAAAACGTAAGAGCAGAAAATTGCAACTTCCTCTCTGCCCCATGATTAACAATCGCATTGTTGTACGTAGGTGAATCCGCAGCACACGATTCCCGTCCTCAACGACACCGGATTCATTCTTTGGGATAGTCACGCCATCTCAGCGTATCTGGTGAACCGGTATGGGCCTCAGAAATTGTATCCGGAAGAGACGAAGCTGAGGGCTTTGGTCGATCAGCGATTGCACTTCGACTCCGGCATCCTTTATCCAACATTAAGGAAGATCATTGTACTGTTCTTATTCGCAATTCCTAAAAAAGAACAATAGTAATTATTATTTTTACAGGTACCGATAATGTTTTTCAACAGATTCGGATTATCCAAAATGGATGTTATAAAAATTAAGCAATGCTACGAGTTTATGGATATATTCATGGGTAAATCCAGTATATGGCTGTGCGGTGATGAAATGACGATAGCCGATCTCTCCTGCTTATCCACCGTCTCCACCATGGACATGATGTATCCAATCAAAGAGGACGAGTACCCAAACCTGAAGCGCTTCTTGAGGAACGGCGAAAGGCTACCGTATTACAACGATATAAACCTGAACGGTTTAAATAAACTGAGCAGCGTCATCCAACAGAAATTCATCAAGCACAAGGAAGAAAAGGAATTTTCTGGTGGAAGTAAAACAAAACTATAATCGAAACTTAATCATTAATTCAATAATTATACGTGGAAATTGACTGGCATTTCTTAATTGCTAAAAACGTGAAACTTGTTCGGTTTTCTTTAGTATGAGAAAATCAATTATTCAACAGTTAATAACTACACACGGTGGTGACCTGACATTTACCCTCCAAATCGATACTTCTTGAATGTTTTTTTATGTTAGGAAAATAACAAGTTGCGCTGTAACACCATTATTTTTGCTTCAATAATAAATGTGTTTGTGTGTGTTACAGCCAACACCAAATTAATGCGGAACAATTTCGCTCTCGTAGCTAGTTTTAATTTATCAATCATCTAGTGTAATTGCATGTGGGAATAAACGGGATGAGATCATATTTTTTTGTACTCCATTCCTAGTCACATTTATTATGCATCCTTTCTCTCTGTTCGAGTGGGATAGGAATCTTTTGTTGGCGAAACTCGCGAAACGAATGCACATGTATTTGTTTCTTTCTCATTGCAGTTGCTTCGTGCCGGTGCGGTTTGACTATTGATTTTGGAGCAATGGCTTTTCTGATTGTTTGTATTCTGGCGAGGGCAAATATTTTTGTTGCTATTTCCAGTGCGCCACTAAACCTCAATAATCATAAAATCGATATTGTTGCACGCATTAACATTCAGCTCCAAATTGTTACGTGCTTGAATAAGTTATATCGGAACTTGTATAGTCGATGTACAGATATATATATTTTTACCTATTTATTACACCCGTGGCTTCAGATCGAACACCTATAATTGCAGAGTTTTTACATATTCATGGCTTGATTGCATGTTATTTTCTATACAGTTTTTATGACTTCCGATGATTAATTATCATTGAAAATTTCTTAGAAACATTCTTGTGAAAGCTTGGAATTCAATTTATTTTTGATTATTTTATTATTGGCCAATAGTGCCTGAACTATCGTATGACTTATGGTCACCTTGAATATGAATAATGTAATGAACCAAAATTAAATAATATAAAATATAGTAATACCTCGCATAGTGGGTTCCTCCAATATCCCGGACTATTTGAAACAGAACTAATCGTTGACTTTAGAACTATATAAAAATAAACCGTACAAAAAGATACTCGACTGTATAAAGCAGATATGATGCCAAAAAGAACCGCAATCCGATTTTTTACATTTTATAAAGAGCCATGCGTATATTCGTTTATTTTATTTCATGTATTTAATTATGTTATGTATTTTTATTTAAAGAACATATATAAAAAATATAATTATGAAAATGACATTAATTGTTTCAAAATTTTAGTAATAAAATTCAAATATATTCAAAATATTTATTAATAAAATGTATAATATCATCAAATGATAATCTTTGGTCATTTTTTTTAAATTTTGTGTAAAATTAGGAAAATATAAAACTAAAATTTGAAAGGGAGCCGCACTTGACTCAACGATGAGCCGCATTTGTCTACAGTTGGTAAATTATTTTGTGTACGTTTTTTTTGATTTTATCAATTAAAAAACCTGACTGATCGAAGTGTTATAATATTATTAATATATTTTAGTAATTTCAATCGCAACATCGGTTTCGAGAGATAATTTTACATATTCATAAAAATAAATCATATTATTTAAATATCTAAATTGAAATCAAATGTAATGAATAAAATAGAAATTACCTCTAAATAAAGTGATACAACTTATCATCAACTTAACATCAACTTTAGGTGGATGTGCCGGGTATGTCATTGTACGGTTAATAGACAAAAAATAAAGCTTTATAATTTGTAATATAAATGTATACACTTACGAAAATAATAAATTATACCAAATGTAGTTGGGATTTTCTCGAAGGAAATCCATCAATAAAAAAAATTACTATACATACAAACATCTATTGATTGATAATTTTCAGTTCATTATTTTTTAATGAAATGATCGGATAAGTACAAAACTAATTATTTTGTTTTCTTTTAAATTTATAAGTAATTGTATGCCATTGTCAGCACTTTGGAGAGCGAAGATGAATATCTTTGCATGACCCATCATCACATCTTCGGGGACTTAAGGGAAGAAGGTTATTCTTCGGAAGGGTGGGTATGGAATACTTCAGCCGGAAGATCAGCGGAGATTCATTGGCATTCAGAATTCAATTGAGTTGAGCATTGAGATGAAGATGAAGGATTGAGACAGGAGATAACTGGATCGCCATAAATATTGTGAACAAAGCTGACTTGGATCACCAGAACTGACATTGCTGCAGGATAGTATGTGTTTTACTGAGATTATTGGAATATTGTTGGTAGTAGATTGTAACAATGACTTCTCAACACGCCGACAATTCAACGAATTCAAACATGACAATTCGATAAAACTTCAGAATTCAATAATAAAAAAGGATTGAGAGATCGATAGGTAATAGGATAATTGATTACCAATCAAATATAATTATATACTTTTATGTTCTGGTTTGAATGGCTATATTTTGTATACTTAATACGCATTAAGAAAAAGATTTAAACACAAACAATTGTTGTCCAACATTAATAAATATTACATAACATTAACATAATTTATCAGAGAAAATAATAATAATTTATTGGACAAATAAAATAAATATTACTCGAAATTAACTATAAAGAAAAACCTAACAATTAGAAATATAATATAATTTATATCAATAACAAACACTAAATAGTCTTTCCGCACTGAAATTAATAAATTTTACTTAATTACAAATAATATAATTACAACATGGACCAATAAATATTTGCAAATTCATTAATTATTTTTATATAAACTTAAACATTAGATCTTATACCTTTAAAGTTCGTTACTAGATTTCAAATGAGTTTAACGCAAATAATAAATAGTAAATTATAATTATGTTTACTATAGACTATGATCATTTATCTACTTGTAAATGATATGAATTAACAAATGCTTTTTGGTAATAGCTATTATAAATAACTATATAGTAATTAAGCTGTATGTGAAAGAACAGGAAGAGAAATAGTGCCACGTATACGGTTTAGAGTTTGTTTGTATCTGAATTTTTTGGGCCGATTTGTATTGTCAGGGAAATGTGGTGGAATCAATTTTTTTCCGCGTTGCGTTCTGACATTCAATATTTAATGGACTGTGCCTGGCTCGGTTTAGGCGTACCACAGAGACTCCGCGATCACATTTAGATATTGACCGCAGCAGAGTAAACACCTCTTAAATCGCGATGGCCCCGTTGCTCTACAAAAAGGACATGAGTGCCCCTTGCAGGGCCGTCCTCCTTACAGCCCAAGCAATCGACCTCGAGCTCGACTTCAAAGACGTGGACATGCTCAACAAAGAGCACCTCGAGGAAGATTTCATCAAGGTATATATAGCATTAATATTTAGCGAGTCAAAAAACACTCAATGAATCTTTCGTTCTTTGCACGCAGTTGAATCCTCAACACGCAGTACCAGTCTTAGATGATGAAGGCTTCATCCTGTGCGAAAGTCACGCAATCATCGTGTATTTGGTATCCAAATACGCAGGGGACGATTCGTTGTATCCGGAAGATCTGCAGTTGAGAAGCCAGATCAACCACAAGTTGCACTTCGACGGAGGCGTCCTCCAAAATTTGATGCGTCAAATTATTGTAATTATTATAATTATTTCTTTATTGAAACTGAAAACAGTATTAATATATTCTTATCTCAGGGACTCTTCATATTCGAAGGCGCCAGTTCCATTCCGGAAAAGATCGTAGACAGCGTAATCGAATCGTACAGTTTCCTTGAAGCCTTTTTGCAGGATAAAGAGTGGTTTGTCGGTGATTCGGTGACCCTTGCAGATTTGTCGTTGATTCCGTCTGTTACCACGCTCAACGTATTAGTTCCCATTGACGGGGACGCTTGTCCCAAATTGCTTGAGTGGATAAGTAGAGCGGAGGAATTGCCCTATTATTCTGCGAACTCCGCCGGTCATGAAGAACTCGTTATCTTCGTAAAGAATATTCTGGGCGCATAAGTCCATACGATTTTACCATTGCAATCAGCGATTTAGTATGTGAATATAGTTCCTTGTGGAAACAATGAGTTGCTTATACCTGCTTTATATTAATAAAATGTAACGAAGAAACTTATTGCTGCTCTTATTATTAGAAAATCCCTTAACTGGAAGACAAATATTGACTACTTATATAATTTATTCTTTGGAAATCCTACTTATAAATATTTGTATAGTCAATTATTTATAAGTAGAATTTCCAAGGAGTAAACATGATGAATGAATAATCAATCTATTAACTATAATTATAGTTATAGTTAATAATATTTAGTAAATATATAAAAAATTATAAATTTATAAATATTAAGTAAATAATTATAGTTAATAGATTATATATCTGTTTTCTCAAGTTAAGCGAGCAAAATAAATTGTAAGAAAAATGACTCCAAAATGGAACGCATTATCGTATAGTACATAAGTTTATATGGTGAATTTTTTTTCACTATACGAGCAAAAATTCGGAAATTTTGGAACGGATTATGCTCGTTAAGCGAGCGTTTCTTTATTCAATTGAAGATTAGAATTCTTAACTACCCTTAGATCGAAACTTCAACGTTTCTTTGAGATTTATTATTTTTATTAACTGAAAAAAAACATTAACTGTTACAACTGCATTATTTTATATTAGTATATTCCAGATGTTATGTTTGTAATTGATTTATTTCCTGCTTTATATTGTTTGGATGCGATTGTATCCTTCCTTCCTTTACAATTCCTTTTATAAATCAACGATATTAAAAATTCATAATACAATCAATACGTTACACAATTTTTATAAAAAAAAGAAGCTGTAGAAAAAGTCTTGTTTAACATAGAATTATACACAATTTTAACACTTTACAGAATTAAGTTAATTTAAAAGTATATTGATAATTCATTTAATGACAATTCTTGTTTTTAAGCATTAAAATATTATATGTAATTATAAAAAATAACTAGAAAATATTTAATATGGCGTTGATCAATAACGTTAATAATTGTGAAATTCTCTACAAGATTTAAGAAAAAAAACTTATTAATTATAATTTACAACACGTTGTAAATTCTGATACAAAATGTCGTTGATTCGATTCCCAAAAAGCAACAAAAAAATGTCGGGACTGATAAACCCAAAAGTGGTAGAGAAATAGGCCCAAAAAGAGATTTTTATCAATAATAAATTGATATAAACCTCTTTAAAAAAATATTGTTTTCATAATACTATTTTGTATAATTTTTCTCTCTTTAATGAAATGTAAAGCATATGACTTTGAGAAATACAAAATTATAATCTATAAGAAAACGTTATTATACAATAAATATGATATTGATTATTATATACTATTATATAAGTAGTATATAGTTGAAGTGCATAATGGATTAAAATATATTTAGGTACTTTGTTAAATAAAACTGAGCAAATTGGTTTTAAAGTAATGTTTTTGCGTATCCTAAAGTATTAAATTGGTTTCTTTACATTTGTTAATTCGAAACGCGTATATTTGGTTGCATATGTGAATAAAACATATTTTCCTTCATAAAATAATGTAATAACTTTGTTTTATTTTTGTAAAATTCTTAGAATATATGTAATTAACAGAATAATAATTTAAATTGTTGTTTATTTATAAATTTTACTTATTGCTCCATTGCAGTGAAGTTAGCTATAATTAATGTATACATGCAACAAGCAAATTCAGGAAATTAAAATAGACATTTCTTTTGCTTGCAGCTGGTTTCGTTGTTTATTTTTACAGCCCAGAAATAGGATAAACGAAGGAGATCTTCGATTTTCCCAGATTTTCCATCTACATTACATGAAGCCTGGGTGATCTATAAAGTTATTGGTAATTATTACAGTTTTACAACCAGTTTAATTCCAATCAAATATATAAGACTAATGGTAATATTCATGTTTTATTCTACACCCTATGTATAGTTCATTATGTTTTATATATATATTACTAAAACAATAAGGTTTCTTTTTAATTTTTGAGGTTAGAATAAGTTTTTTTTTTCATACACATTGTTTTTAATCATTTCAGCATTAAGATGGGAGATTTTTTAATATTTAATTGGGAATGTGCTGCTATAGCAGATGCACATTGAATGAGGAGATTGTCTCTGTAGCAGGGAAGAGTTGTCTTAATGTTCTATCCCGACATTAATTGACTGTCTTATTTATGTCATAGTAGAATTAAGTGAATAAAACTTGATAATTTCAATTACATCTCCTGTTGAAATCAATTATTTAGTGATACAACCTTTGCTATTCTCATTTGTATTTAAATGTTGAAATCACAGATTCTTTATTTTTCAGTATAGCAGGTAAGTTAGAGTGCGAATCTCTGACAAAATGACAGGCAATAAGAATAAACACAAGTACATGGGAGGCAAAGGTATTGGACTGAACAAGTCCAAGAAAAACAATAAACCTAAGATGTCAATGCGACGTCGTCCACCTGTAAATAGAAGGTTGCGTGATGACAATAGGAGGCACTACTCCCCAGAAAGAAGACGGTATACCGAAAGGTTCTATCGTCGTTCTCGTTCTGGCTCACGTCCACGTTCAAACAACACTTTCTGTGATTACAACGGTGGTAATGAAAGTACTTTTGTACCAGCAACTGAATACAACCGAGAACCAGAGATTCAACAATTCAACAACCATCACAACCATTTCTCTCCGCCCCCTAGAACCGATCAATCATCGCATTACTCTGAGGAAGTCGGCTATGTTCACCAAGACGTTCACCGGAACTTCGTTTTGAGCCACCGCCCACCGATCTAATTAGAAGCGAGGAAGAAAGATGGTCAGAAAGAGAAGATTTTAGGAATCAGGACGTCCCGGAGAGTACAGATTTTCGGAATAGATCTCCACCGAAAGCATGCACACCCATTCCGAATTTCGTGTCCCCGGAGGAAGGTCATCCGATGGTGCCGTCTTTTAACGGTGAGGATACCAATTTGACATCGAGACAGTGGGTGAAAATCGTGGAAGAAATTGGCCAGGCGGAGAACTGGAACTGCCAGGACAAGCGATTCCAGATGATCTCGAAGTTTGTGGGAACTCCGAAAGAATGGCTGCTGAAGCAAGATTGTTTTGGTGAAAACTGGAACCGCTTGAAGAGGACGTTTGTACGAGCTTTTCCCTCCGACATGGATTACCATAATTTACTTAAACGAATGGTCATACGTACGAAGACGGACAGCGAGACGTATAGCAACTACTTCACGTTTAAAACGATGCTGTTGAAGAGCTGCAACATTACCGGTCGAAAAGCCATTTCTTGTTTAATAGGAGGATTCATGGACGAGGACTTGAAGAATCTTGCGTACGATCAAAATTTTGAGACGGCAGAGGCGCTTTATAGTTTCCTAATGAAACAAGAGCAATTCAAAAAGTCAAGACCAAAACCACCGGAAGAGCTGATTGCTAACTTTTCGAAGGTGTGCTACGGCTGCAACATGAACGGGCATTTGTTCGAGGATTGTTCGGATAATCCTAAGAATAAAGTCAGCGGACACGTGATGATCAACCCCAAGAATTTTGTGGATGTATGGATAAATGGATATTCGGTGCAGGCATACAACGATATAAGTAGCCATTTCGTGATGATTCGCGAGGACCAGGCGAAGTCTATGAACATCAACTACAAGTACAATACGAAAATGATATGTGGATATAAAGGAAATCCGGTGACGACATTGGGAGAGGTCAGTATCGCCATTCGCGTGAACGCTGTGACGGTGAATATCGATGCTTTCATCGTGCCGAGCAGTGCAGAAGATTTCGGCGTGATCTTGGGGGATAATCTGAGGAATCATCCAGACATTTGCTACGAGGAGAATCCAAATTCCATTTCATTCAGTTCAGCTGTGATCACGCACACGGAACGCTCTTCATTTTCAATGAACGAAGAGCTCATGAAGAATATTAATGACATGAATGGTTCGAGCAAAGGAGTACAACGGAATCGCCATCATCGAGGAAAACCCGAGAAGCACGAGAGGCAACAGCAAAGCCAATTTGAGCCACCGTTTGGCTCATCCAGTACGAGTAAGTACATCGACCAAACACAAATGTACAAAGTATTTTTTTAACAAATTTACCTTGCTTCTATTTGTCCTTTAGGTAGACATTATAGATATAACTAAGGCAATCGGATTGTTCTACGAACAAACTTAATATACGTAACTGACGTGTAAGTTTACATATTATTGCGTTATCATTAAAAAGAAAATAACACAAAAAAAGTGTATTTAATTACATCTCTAATGTTTTCTTATTACTCTAGAAAAGGTATGTATGTTATTCGGTAATATCAAAGAGAATTTTATCTTGGAGCGAGTCACGACTTTCTATGCCAACACTTTATCCAAGCTATATTATTCTTTGCGATATTCAAGTCACTGTTACTTGCTGACTTTTCGAAATTTTACACTTAAGTCTTAACGACTAAGTTATTTATTGGAAACGGGTAAAACTCCGTTTTCAATCGACACACGACGAAACATTTACGAGAAAAAAGTAAATGTGTTATATGTATGTCTTTTTAATAAGAAACTTAAAACATAAGACTTAAAAGATACATACACAACATACAATTAAATAAACATAAATTCGCAGTGATTGCAATTGTCACCATTTTTAAGATATTTTTTGATGGAAGCAAAATCAACATAACTCTTTGGGAGGCGGTGGGACACGCATTGTCCCACCTTTTAACATGCCTAGTGGGGAATTATTATAATGTTCTAGAATATGTCCAGGAAAGGGATGAATTTGATAGCGCAGTAGAAGATGTTTACCATATCATCCGATGATGATTCAGTTGACGAAGTAGTCTGGCCCCCACTTGGGTTAAATTAGGAGACTGATGAATGACAACTTATGAACGAGATAATTCTGAGTTTCGAAACTTCAATGTTATATCATATATCACGGTCTAACTGAAAGCACATATTGACGAACTCCATATTCTTTACTCCGAGGATTTCTTTTTTAGATTGACAATTGCAATTTAAGCATTATTTTCTAAGTACTATGTCTAACAAAATGGACCCACTAGATGCAGAATGGTCGATAGACCATAGTAATTGTGCAAATATGGATGGAATTAAAATATAAGAAAGTTGAAAGTTTTGAGGAATCAGTTCATTACTTTGTAAGACTAGATAATAATCAAGATACGACAATGCACGATTCTGAATATACATTATCGACGTGATATTCTTCGTTATTAGAACTTCCAGAAGATCAGTACCAAATGCAAGAATAACAATATTATATGAAAAATGATGATAGGACGATACCCTGCATTATGAAACATGCTTTCATATATTTTTTTTTATTCCGAAAAGAAAGTAAAAAATATGAAATACATTTGCAGGCGAAGTTAAGAATAAAGGACTGGGAAGAAAACCAATTATTTTAAAGAGATGTATGTTCATGATGGATGTCATTGATTTTTTGACTTAAAACGAGACTTGTGGCTACAGAATTCTGATTAATGATGTTAGTTTCGCAAAATGTTTAATATTAATAAACATGAAGAAGCGACAAAGCTTGTAATACATCTAAGTTACGTCGTCCTGGATTTTCCCGAATCATGCAAGACAAAAAGTTGCTGAGTTTTTCATATATTCCTTTTAGTAACATAAAATGGTAAGTAAACACAAGAAGTCTAATTTAAATATATTGTGAGTAATTCGGCCAGCTAATCTGCAGAATCCTGAATATTATCAGGCATTCTGTGTAAAGCGAATAAAATTGAAGAATATTGTGGAAAAGATTGAATAACATAAAAATAAAATATGTAGTTCGTTGAAGGAAATATGATCTACGTGGGCTAATAAATATATTTTATTCTACAGATTACCTTGCCATTATACACTAATATACATATAAAAATATTTTCAACAATTGCTATAAGAATGCAAAAAATATCTATTATATATATTTTATGATTATTTTACTTAAAATATCAATATTTAACATACACAAATCTTATCAAGCTTTGTGAGTCCCAGATATACAATAATTAAACTGATTATTATTAATAAAAACAATTATATGAGAATTATACTTTGACACTTTGGCCAGTATTTTCTCTTCAATTTTTTTTACTGTATTTTTGCTATATTTTGTATTAGTATAATTGTTATAAGAAACCATGGAACTTTATATTTTGTGCAATATTGTTATTCAACATATTTGATTAAACTATATTCGACGCAAGGTGGCAGCTGTCATTAAAACAATCAAAGCGATTCATAGCTTGAGAAAAGCTGTTGTAAGACAACCGTCGATGGAGAGGATATCACCTGCAATTTAATGAAATATTTACTATAAGTTCTAGTATGCCATGATACAAAAAAGTTGAAAACACTGACATACGAGAAGAAATATCACTTCTTTTATTTTTCATACACTGTTTATAATATTTATATATTAGTATTGGATCAAAGAGCTGTCGTCTTTCTGACCTCATTTAATATATTCGTTATTACTTACAAGTGAATTATTGTATTAATATAGAACAACGATTCACGACATTTTTGCCTAACGACTCAACAATTTTTTACTATGCTATGACGCAAGATGGCAACTGTAAGTTGCAACCCACAGGTTTAGAAACGCTGTTAAGAATGCATGTATAAGTATTCTTCAAATAAAACATAGAATAATAAATAATGACATTTTCTAGATGATTTCAATTGGTTAAATAAAAAATATTAGCATTAATCAAATGTACATATTGATGTTTTTTTTTTAGTATAGAAATATTAACAACTTTCGAAAGTTAAGCAACTTGTCCCGTGTTTATAAGTCGAATAGGTGAGTAACTAGTTTTAATATTTCTGACATTTTAACGAAATATACAATTTTAAAGGATTTTCATTGATGGAATTAATATTAAAACTTGCTAAATATAAATTTTTAAGTGCAAAATTAGTTTTAATTAATATAATTTATTTTTAAGTTAACTATATATATATAATTAAAGTTTTTTAGTAATAATAAAAATATCAAGTAACTAATAAATGTTTTTCTGCTAAATCGGAGAAGTTATGTGAATGAATAAAAGAAAAGTACTTTCTCATTGCTTCCTCTTTTATTTTCTTCTTTTTTTTTTCAAATGCATTTAAATATAAAATAATAAAATTTTAGTTATTTTTTTTAAAAACTTCATTAATTGGTTATCATCACTCATTAAGGATCAACTTGACTTTTTCACCTGGCTTGAAAGCAGGCATACCCAAATATGGACAGCTTGCACACCTGAAGGCATCACCCAAATAGCACTGTAATTAAATGAAAATTAATGAAATAATACAGTTGCTCAGTACAATATTTCACATACACTGCCACATGATGACTTTGGTGGTGGTGCTGCTGATGTAGTCTCAGCTTCTAATTCTTGAGCCAAACCACAGCTGCAATCTTTACAAGCCTTGCGTTTTCCAGTTGTTCCACAAACTGAAAAAAATAAAATTAATACAATTGTTTTAATTCATTTAGAAATTCTACCTCTGAGTGATTCTGCAGCTGGTTTCTTTAAATCTTCTTCATCAAGTAGATTATCAGCATCTATGATATCTTCATCTACATTTTGTGACAGTTTCCATACCAAAACCTCTTTTAGTAACTCAACTTCAGCTGATGATCCTGCAGTGTATGTTGGTTTGAAACAAACAAATTGCTTATATTCTCCAGCATTGCTTGCTGCAACCCGAACGAATCCTCCAATTTGTAAGTTTAATTCAGTTTGGGATGAATCACTGCTAGACTGGGTAAGAATTAAAAAGCCACCTGGTTTAAGGCTAGAGAGGACCTTTTGGAAGTCATTGATCTCTGGTACTTTGTAAGCAATTACACCATCGAAAGATGCTTCATTGATGCCTGTTAACAAGTAGTTTATCCATTTATTACGAGACATTACGACATAGGATTGATAACATTACCTTCGATATTTCCAATGAGCGATGTTGTTGTATTTGCAGATTTAGAATTTAATTCAGCTTGGAGATCGGTTAGATCTGCTGAATCCACGTGCAGCACTAGGATTTTGTCACCTGACTTGATGTTATCCATCACAGCAAAACAAATTCGATCGAAAATAAATAATTGGTGTCCAAGTTACTATCTGATGAATACAGATGTGTACAGATGAATGAGACGACTACAACTGACAGTTATGATGGTTATGATGATCACTTGTGGTGGGAGAAAATTATTGCAGTAGTTTTTACAGTTTTCCAAATTTATAATAACATAAAACACATTTAATTAAACTTAAATCTTTAAGATATATTTATAACAATACATATATTAAACAAATATTTAACATATATATGTATACTTGGTTGCCTATTTTATTCTAGGAACTTTTAGAAAGATTTATCATAATTTCATTTAAATTTTTAATGATCTGTAAACTATTACCTAATAAATTAAACATTTATTGTAGCATACAGAGAGCATACATTTTTCTACACCTCTAGTCCCTTCTTTCAATGAAATCATACCCAACTATTCTTCTTTTGATATAAAATCTTTACAAACCAAACAAATGAAAACAAGTAATTGTGCTGTATCACTTATAATTATTATCACATTGAAGAGAAAAACAAGAACATCTATTAAGATCATTAAATAACTGCTCTTTTACATTTCCACTCATCTTCTCAATTTGTCGCATCACAGTGTTTCGAAACGGTTGTAGATGTTGAATTTGTAGCAATAAATTCACTCTTGTTCTTAAATTCGTTAAAAAGTGAATCTCATATTTCCAAAAAAGTTTCCTTTGCAAATTCACCCTCGGAAAATGGTTTACATTTTTTGAGATAACTTACTTTGAATGATGCAGCAGTTGTTGATTCTGACATCAGTTTAGCTGCTTTTTATATTTATATTTTGTTAATTTGTTTATTGAGTTTTAAGATCTCTAACTTTACGTTTTCTCAATTCGGTATTTTGTGGAAAATCTATTTAATTCTTGTTATGTAAAACTAAATAAATGTCTCTCCAGATTTCCCTTTTTAGGAATGGTTATCGAGGTAAGGCATATTAAGCAACAACATTTATCATTCACCATTATAAAAAAGTAATCGAATCCCATTCTTCATTGAAATGATAAGTTTTCGATTTTTTGGTTTCCAATTCATGTTTCTCCCTACTTAATTAAATTAATTAAATATTCAAATTAAATATCTGGAAGGACAAAATAATCATTGTGGGCAAAATCTGACCATGATCTAGACTTGAAAAAAAAAAATAGAACAGAAAACACAAGAAACGTACAAACTTGAAAATCGACCAAATTTGACTTCGCGATCGACTTGTTGGCCGCTCCTGCTATATGGAACACACATTCATATTAGTTACAAGATAAATCTAAAAATCTCAGATATAACTCTAATATTTTAGATTATATTTGATGATTATTTACATAAGTAATTAAAAGAAAGTTTTAAAGTTTTTTCATATAAATAAAACATTCATTTAAAATCTATAGCTTTATTTCTTTCCATTCATTCATGTGCTACAACAGTTGTGATTTATTTATTTTTTTTTACAAAATATAACAATTTCAGTCAAAATGATACAAAAGGTTATTACAAATTAATCTAATATAGTAAGTTAAAAATAGCACTTGTTACAGAGATAACGTAAACAGTAAACTGAACATAAAGTTGAATACGAGAGACTCGGTTAACATAGGGTATAATATAAGGGTTTATATAGAACAGCTTATTACAATCATTGATGGAACATAATAATATGAAATAATTTGTGCTTAAAGATAAGTCAGCTACAAATCACTAAATACACATAAGTTGATATGCTTTTCAGAAAAAACAGTACACAATTATACATAATATATATATATACGTAATATTTAAAAATAATAAGGAAAAACTTTAAACAATTCAGGGAAAAATAACTATAGATACCGTAAAGTATAGTTGCCTTAAATAGAGTATGTAAACTTATGTAATATTTTGTTTATGTATAAGTTATATTACAATCGATTAGTTAACTAAAAAAATGATAATTATGTAAATATACTGCGTTACACATTATAATAATATCTAAATGTTTACAAGAGGATTCGAATCACACAATACAAAAATAAGATATGCTAAGGAATATTTTAATTGTTCTAAAACTTTCACAGAAGTTGTGCACATTTTTAATATATTTATATTATATATTTTTCTTAATATATTTCTTTTATTATTGGATAGTGTTCTCTTCTTAAACATCATCATTTTCATCATCAAACATATACATCTTATTTTTTATTTTTCATCATCATCAATTACTTATACATTTCTTCAAACGTAGGCACAGAGTTCACACAAAAGGTCACTCCCCATCTTCAAGTATTATTATTTTATTCTTCATTAAAATTAATTTTCTTCTTTAAAATTTCATTTTATTTTATTCACTATTACTTTTTTTTCTTCTTTAAATTTAGTAACATAGCACTGGGCGAAATTGTCCGACTGAATGGCAGTAATGAGATGCGAAAAGAAATCGGCAAACACTTTAAATTTAATTTTAACTTTTACTTTAATTATTTATCCTTTATTTTTTCATCATAATCTTCTTTTTTTTATTATTCCTGGCAGTTATTGTCTGCTCGTTTTCAGCAGCTAGGTGTTAATGAGGTGATCAGTTGGTGTAGTGATCGAAAGAGCCCAAATATTCCAAAGCTGTACGATAGCAGAATTGGTATTGGTCCTGGAATAGAAAGTTTAGAAGTGTTAGTTAAATGATTTTTAAAGTTTTGTTTTTTTGTAAATTGAACTTACTTCAGTTTGCACCATGGCTGGTCGTTGTGTTCTTAATATCCTCGCTGTTTGGAATACGTCGACCACTCCTTCGTACTGCATCCTTTCAAGGACTATGCTCAATGTTATGAACACCCCGGTTCTGCCGACGCCGGCGCTGCATTAACAAACGATTGGCATTTAATGGGAAATTCTAGTAAACGTATTCGATCGTAAATAATTACCTGCAATGTACGGTGATGGGTCCATCTTGTCCGAATTGCTCCTTAGTTTTGTGGACTTGCCCGATGAAATCGATGAATCCGTCTCCGGATTTGGGGACACCCTGTTCCGGCCAGTCGGTGAATTGGAACTGGCGTACCGTTCTTGATGAACCGTCTCGAGCATCAGTCACCTTAAACTCTCGTAAGATGTATTGCGGCATATTGTATTCGGCGATTGGATCCACGACGAAGCATTGATAGCGAACGGATCGATCGCTTGGCCAATATTGGTGGCACTTCTCCTGCAAAATAAATAATATACAAGGATAAAATAACAATACGAATAAAATTGGAATGACTAATAACTTACGCGTCCCATCTCCTTAAGCTTAGTTAACATCACTATAATAGTCGAGTTGTGCTCCCATAGCATCCTCCACAGATCGTCGGCGGTGTCTGGGAGCGGGCTTTGTGTCGCGATGTATGCCTTCCGGTAACGATAACCATCCACAAAGCTCGCATTAATATAATCCGAACCATCGACGTTCCGTATTGGCGTGAGACATACGCGAGTGCTTTCGAAGGGCAGGATGTGAACCAGACGGTTCTTATGCTTGTTAGCCGGCAGATTAGCAGTCACAAATCTCGATGAATCAGTCTTAATGTTGCTCAGTTTCTTGAATTCCAACTCCATACCGGTTGTGTTTTCGCCGATCTCCGGCTGCATCAATTTCTGGATGTGCGAGTGCAGGTTGCGTGCAGGAACTTCGGTCATACCGCAGATAACAGCCTCCAGCAAGGAATCGTGTATGAACACGTACTGATCCTCCGTCTGGACCATGTAATTGCGTTGGGCTCGTAAACAGGTGACGTGTCCATAAATATCAATCGACTTCTCGTTACGCATTCGCTCCAACATTGAATCAATAACGATGAAACATCCTGCAAACAAAAATACATTTGTCTCAACTACAGCAAAATAAGTCACAATAAATTCCTATTTCTAATATAATTAAATATTAAAATTGTATATTCAAACCGTCATTTATAACTAAAAGTTTTTTTTTCTTATACCGCTTTTACGTATACCCGGCGCATCCACACATAATAATGTTTTATTTTTTTCAATTTAAATTGTGAACTTACCGGTACGTCCAACTCCTGCAGAGCAATGTACAACAAGCGGTCCAGCGTCTGCAGGATTCATGTTCCTGACGCGTCTTAAGAACTGCAAGAATGGAGCTGGATGATCTGGTACTCCGTGGTCCGGCCAAGCGGTAAACTGCAGCTGCTTGATTTCACGACGTTCGCTGTGCCCTTGACGGTGTATTTGGAAAGTCCGTATACAGTAGGTTGCTAATTCTTGCACATCGGTGATGGATACGGTCATGCAACCGTAGGTCTCGGTGCCGCGACTTGGCCAATACTGATCGCATTTGATCCTAGTGCGTTCCTCGAGTTTGGTCATCATCACGATGGTTGCGGTTCTCAGTTCCCAGCACATCCTCCAGAAATCAGAGAAGGTCTCCTGCAGAGGACCCTGCGTCGCGACGTACGCGTTGTGCTTTCGATAGCCGTCGCAGTAGTTTGCATTGATGTAATCACTACCAAGCATCGCATCTTCTGGTTGCAGAATCACCCGGCTATGATCGTATGCTATAACATTTGCGTAACGATTCTTAGGTTTGTTCACCTCCATATTGGAATGATCCCATGTGAATTGCTGGCCGGGCTCGATGCTCTCGTATTCCTGTGAAAACTTCATGTTATCGTTGGCTTTCAATCGGTCGATGTGGTTTGCTAATTCGGAGATGGGTATGGGCGGATGCGACATCATGCCGGGCGTCTGGAAGTTCAAACGACGCATTTCGACTGGATCACTTGGAGCCATGCTGTTGTTCAGATCTGCGGCAATTAAAGGCCTAGTCACGGCCGCTTGGTCAGGTGTTTTGCAGGGCTGTCTCCGCTTCTTCAGTATGAATATGACGACGAGGATGCAGGAGAGAACGAGCGCTGCGATGATGGGAACAACTACCCAAATGACTCCAGCCTCCTTATGCTGCGAACTGACTTTCACGTCGTTGTCTGTAGGCACGTTCGGGTTAGGCCTTAGTGGAGGATCACCAGGCGGCACCTCGCGCATATCTAACGCTAAAAATTCAGAGAACGGACTGCTCGTATACAGACTCTTCTGAGGTGTATCCACCACGGCCCTAACGAATATTTTATACTTCTTGCCGCGCTCCAGTTTCCTATTTCTGAACCCATCGTAGTCCTCGCCCGTACCGAGGTGGAATGTATATGGAATGTTTCTTTGCGGGAATTTAGCGGCGATGTACGGAGCGTTCGGATTCTCCCCTTTGTGACCTTTGTTGGCGATCATTTCTTCAGTCAAGAATTGATCGGGATTATTCTGGATTGTCGCTTTATCCTCGGGAACGACGATCAAGTAATAATGACTTATCGGACCGTACTCCTCGGAGGCTTGGGGTAGTATTACTTGGATCTCTTCGCCGTTAACGACGCCGTAGAAGTCGGGCTGTACCATCGGCTGAGGCGCAGCCATTTGTGTTGTAACAGTAATTTTAGTTGGCGGACGGTAGGTGTAATCAGTCGGAATGGCACTAACGTTTACGTTATATGTAGTGAACGGAGATAATTCGTTGATTGTGTGCGAACGGATATTGTTCTTCAAAGTGACTTCCACGCGCTGTATGTTCTGCGTTTGCGTGATCCCCTGAGAATCCACAAACTCTTTAATGGCGTCGAAGGAAATTTTATAGTTAATTGGATTTAGTCTAATTGGAGGAGCCCAGGACAATGTCATCGAATGCGTCGTCACATCGTGAGCTTTCAGATTCAGCGGCACGTCTTCCGGCTTAACTTTAACCGTTACCTTCTCGGATAATCTTCCTAAGCCGTTCTTCATCCGTGCAGCAACGGCGATCGCGTAATCCGCGAATTTCTCCAAGTTGAATAAATCGGCAGACTCCGTTAAACCGACGCTCTTCTGCTGCCACTCATCCAGATCCTCGACGGCCGTCATCGTATAGAATATTTGGTATCCAATGACTTTGCCGCGTGACGGCACCGGCTCCCACCACACCTCGACGCTCGTGTCCGATGTAGCTACAGCCCTCACAGACATCGGAGCCCTACCAATATCCCTTTCGGTTTCCATAGAAATCTTCTCGCTGTAGGGTCCGGCACCTTGACTGGTATACGCTTTGATATGGAACACGTACTCTGTATTCTCCTCCAAATTCGTGAACACCGCTTTCGTGGTGCTGACATTCCTTTCGATGATGTTCGTGTGGTCCGACTTCTTGTGGAATTGGATATCGTATTTTACAATCTGACCGTTCCTATGTTCACGTGTCGGCGGATCCCAAGTTATACAAACCACGTCTGGAGTTTGAAAATGAAAACTAATATTGGTTGGGGGACCGGTCGGCGGTCCCTCTGGTGTGTTCATAAACTTAATCGCCTCTTGTCCTATTCCTATATGATTCAAACCCGCCACTCGGAATTCATACTCGACGCCGCGTTCTAAGTCTTTGATCCTGTAAATCTGCGTGTGCGAGCCTGCAAAACAAGGGGATGCATGTAGATTCTCCAATAATATTGTCTAGTTCGAGCATACCCTTAAGTGGTACTTCTTTAAGTAATTGATCTTTGACGCCGTATCGAAGCCTGTAGCCCTGGAGTTCTCCGTAAGTTTGCGACGGCCTCGACCACTCGAGCTCAACAGATACAGTTGGCTCCCTTTCGATGACCCTACAATATTTAATATTAATTACATTTGTTGTCCCCTCGTAATGCCTCTAATTGCGTACTTGAATGTTAAAGACGGTCTATTTGGAACACCTCCCGGGGTCTTAACGCTAACTGGAGGACTCCTATCGCCGTCACCTTTCCTTGTTAGAGCAGCAACTTGCACCGAGTATTTTGTGTCGGGCTGTAAACCACTAACGTTCAACTCGAGAGAGTCTCCGAGTACATCAAATCGCAATGGATCATTCAACAAACTCTTGCCCTTAAATCAAGAAGAAAAAAAGCGTTTAGCAAACCACAAACACCCAATTAATAACGGTCATTAATACTTCATCTTTGGTTTCTTGCACGTGAATGTGGTAACCTCGAATAATCCCGTTTCGGTCTTTGGCAAGAGGCGGCATCCAGTTCACCTTAATGGTCGTGGAATTGATTGGGGTAACTTTAACATCCTGAGGATCTCCCGGCACTGTGAAACGAGTACAATTAAATCAGCAAGGCTCCCAAAGTAATACAAAACAAAAATCAATAAATAATAATTATATAATAAAAAAAATATAAATGAAGAAAGAAAAACTAAAATCGATTCGCCAGAAATCACATGCAGGGCGAACAAATATATCCTTGAATCATTAGCGACCGGAATGCTTTTTGTTGTTCTCTCTTCGTTTAAAAATAAAACTTCGTTATCCAAAGAAAACCTCACTCTCAGTAAAAAAGAAAAACCATAAGAACCAAACGTAAAACATAAAAAGTAAACAAGAAAAACCAAAAACTTCCTAAATGTAAATTCGTAAACACAATCCCTAGGTAAGACATTTGAATACCAACACATGTTTGAAAACGCTGGAAATAATTACCTCATTCCAATCGGTAAACACACATAAAATAGACTACTTCAGGTTAAATTAAATAATGTAATTATACTACACACGCTTTCCGGTATTGGCGGTAATAAAAGAAAAAAAATATCGAGAAATAAAGTTAATAAGGGTTCATTAATATGTATATTAAGTTCCTTATCGTTGTTTGGGCTGCGTTAATCGTAAAAGTATTAACAACAACAATAAAAAAAAATCAAGAAAATTGTATTTCCCAAAAAAGAATGCTGCTATTGGAATGAGAGAAAAAAAATCAATGCGACCAACACTCCACGTTCGTTGCAGCATTGAATGTTAAAAAAAGTAAAAAAGCACAAAAATATTTTCATCTACATTGGCCGATTCTACTTGCACACACAGAGTCAATACTCACTTTGAAAAACTGTGGGAGACCGTGTCAAGGCAAAAAGTCAGAGAAAAAAAAAATAGTAATTGTAATAGTGTTACAATACTATATAGGCAAATATGTTTTTAAAAATATGGGTACAAAAAAATGTCATGTTACTTTTCCGCTACAAAAATGCTTGTAAGTGGTTGGAATCCATCCTCGATATAAATATCCGTCATATTTATATACTCACACACACATGTAAAAAATGCGATGCATTTGACAAAAAAATTGGTAAGATCGCGTTCGTAAGACTTATCGTGTTTGTTATTTCTTTCAAAAACCAAAAAGAAAAAGGGAAAAATAAGTTCTTCTTTTTATCCAGCAAAAAAAAATCTCTGGGGTTTCTTTGTGAATGGGGAGCAGTGGAAACGTTTTCTTTCAGTACAGAAAACTAGAAACAACAAAACAAAGTGGACGACCCAATCCAAATGTGTTTCGGAAGCGAAGATATCCAAAAAAAATATATATGTCGTGTTTGTGTGTTAGTTTTGTAAAAATATGTGTGTTAAAAACAGCACTTGCACACTTCACCAAGGGAAAAAATTGCACAACGAAACGAAGTGGAGGAAAAAAATAAAAGTAGCATCCCTAAGTTAATTACATTAAAATGGAATCGGATTTTGTTTTTGTCCGGGGAAAAAATAACGGTCGGGATTTTACATCATTGAAATATTAGTTTGTTACGTGTTTCGTACTTTTTTTAGGTATTTTTCCCGTTTTGGTTAACGAGAATTTCTGGTAAAATGCGTTAATTAAATTAGTGGGGCTAAAAATGGGGTTTGGAAAATATTTCAATCAATACGAAACATGTTTAAATAATTGCATTATTTTTCATGAAAAAAATCATTATAGCTGTTATCAAAACAAGTTTAATTGGATTTAATTAAATTTGTAATTAAAATGAATTTTCCTGTAATTAAAAGCTAAAAATTTTAAAATTAAATAAGACAAAAAAATTCATTGTTTAGTGAGTTAAATTTATAACATCTTTTAAATTTAATTAAAAATAATGAAACAAAAAAAAATTATTTGATTGCTTATTTCGCAAAATAAAATATTAATTTTCTAACACTAACCTTTTGGAAATATATAAATTCTGTAGAAAATTCATAAGTTTCTGATCGAAAAAGTAATAACAAAAAAGGATTATCAATTCTTAGTTTGAGAAATTATTACAAAAATAAGAATTTCGTTTTTTCAATAGAATTATAAAATCCCGATGTTATGTAGCGAAATAAAAAATAAAGACAAAGAAAAGTTCTTGTAATTTAGCCTGAAACCAGAAATGTGTGTACGTTTTCGTTCCAAAAAGAAACGGATCAAGGAAACATGCGAAACTAGAGTAAGAAAAGAAGCAACATCACAGGGATCACGAGGAATCGATCAGTTGTTAATGTTGTAGGTGAATAAGAGTTTATTCTGAAAGATACGTAACTACTACGCAATATAGGTATTGGTATTCAAATGTAGAAACATTTTTAGTTATTTTATAAAGATAATCGAAATAGAAAACGAGAACAAAAAACAGTAAAATATAATTTAAACTAAAAAAATTAACAAGTTGAATAATCAAACGACAATTGATCATTTGATTATTCGCATTTTGAATACGAAAGAAATAAAACTAAAAACAAAACAAAGAGAAAAATCATTTCTTTCTTCATCCTTTTCAGTTTATAATGTATTTTTTTATAATTATTTTTGCACACACTCAATCACACACATAAACGGTGCAAGTGTAGAGTTCACACACAGTGAGATGTGATATAAATGTGCCATATTCATATAGTGCGCCATGTCATCCTACAGTGAGTTGTGCTTGCCTAGCGAGGCGGGCGAAGGGATGATTTTTTTTATACATACATATTTCTACATATTACATATGTATATAGAAAAAAAAAACGAGAGGAAGGAATAAATAATTCACACGACGTACCGGTACAGTAAGACTGTAAAAAGCGAGCATCGAAATAAAGACAGACGCAAAGAAGTGAAGAAAAAGTAAAGACCGAAAATCTGGTGTGAATTATTCATACGTGAGAGTGGGACGAGATATAATAGGCGTAGAGATTTAAATTGTTTCAATATTTTTTTTTTTCGTTATATCTGGCATGCTTGGATGTGTTCATATCTAATATAATACCAAAGAAGTAATAAAGTAAAACGAAAGAACGAAAAATCTGTAATATAAGAGTAAAGGAAACGAAAGAGGTGCTTCGTGAAATTAACCAGAACGAAAACGATAAAAATCATCGAAAAAAGACACTTTATATCTTACGTAAAGAGTAAAGATATAAACCAAAAAAACGGTGCCGACTGTGACTCAAAAAAAAAAATATATATAGGAAAAAAAAAACGGTGCGCCATTGCAATGCAATTTCTTGTGCCAAAGTGTATCAAATTACCAATAAAGCATATCATTACATGTGAACGTGAGTAGCTAAACAATTACAACAACTAAAATCGAACAAAATACACAACTAATTTTGTTATATAAGTATAAATTGCATATATAGGTAAAAAAGATGTATCGTTACCCGCAAATCTCAAAAATAACAAGTACAAATAGAAGGAAAAAGTCATATATATAAAAAAAATGTGTATATATATATATAATTTCAAAACCTCAATGGTCGCTCCTTCAAACGCTTTTGTAGACAGAAGAAAAATGTTAGTCACAAAAAATATGTATATTGCTGTAAAAATGACAACAATAACACACACAGAAAAAAATCGTATCGAGGGCATTGTCGAGTACCACACAGAAAAAAATTCAAAATTTGTTAGTTATCCTCCTTCGGATGGCTGTAATGGTGTTGAAAAAAGTTTTTGGAAAAAAATAAATCATAGCACATACCACTGAGGGTATGCCAAAAAACTACGACTAAAACGAAAAATTATAAACGAAATTGTAGAATCAAAATGAAAATAAGTTAAAACGGAAAAGGGGATGAAAATAAAATTCTTTAACTGAACAAACGAAATGGAAACAATAACGTACGAATTGGGGAGGAAATCAATAATAAAGGATCGAAGGTGATTCTTTTTGGGGGTTATTCGTTATTATTACTTATTTTCTAATATTTTTTTCTTTACTTTTTTGAAACCTGAAATACAATGTTAGATCTTTGTTTTTTTTTCCAATGGTTCGTTTGATACTGTTAGAAGTTTTTTCAAGAGTTCTTTGGTTATATGCAGTTAAGTACTGAGATGATTGTCTATGAAGTCTTGAACAAATTTCTTTGCTAATATGTATCATGATACAAATCTACAAGGTAGGACGGACTTACGAACTTTAGTGTGTTAATATTATTTACGTCGTGTGAGAAATATGACAAAAATGGAAAGTTTTAGTGTCATACCTTGTATATTTGTATGATGGCTGTGTATCGGATACAATAATTCCTGAATAAATATGCAGAATCAATTGGGGGTTTTCTTCAATTGATTGTGCATTACATTGTATTAGTAGTGATCGGTTAATAATCATGATACCGTAAGTCATAGCGAGATTAGAAGGTTAGATTATACATATATAAACTGTTAGATATAAAAGTCATTGACTGAAACGTACCATCTTCGTGAGTGCGCACAGTGATGGGATAGGAGGGTGGTCCATCGCCGACGGATGTCCCTGCTAGGACCCAGATCCTGTATTCTGCCCAGCGTTTGAGTTCGTCTAGGATAAAGCTAGTGGCGTTTAAACGGACGATGGAGGCCTCGCTATCCGATCTTCCAGCCTCCACGAACTGTAGCTTGTAGTAAATAATATTCCCGTTGCTGCGTTCCGCCGGGGGTGGCTCCCAGTTGACTTGGATTGACGTCGGACTTACCGCTTCGCCGGTAACGTTGTTGGGCGGCGCGCCTGGTACTACGGCGGCGGGTTTAGCGTTAAACTCAGTAAGCCAAAAGCTTATGCCTAACTTTTACTCAACACAACTCTTTCCTTCTTATTTCATACACATATATATAAACCTTTTTCTCCTCAAAACATTTCCCACTTTCCGATATTCTTTTCATCCAACCCCCGCCCCCCCTGTATTATTTTCTTTTCTTTTTTCAGTACAATCGTTCAATCAGTGGATATTAAGTTTACATTTTACAACTTGACCTTAATCTTAGAAATCCCTAACACGGTACAAACCTATATTGCCTTACTATTATTGAATTAGAAAACCATCATAGTTTTTTTGTTATCTTGATATTGAAGAGTTTAGTCGGGGAAAGGGGCGACGGAGCTTTATTGCGATTTTCCATTTCCGAAACGGTAATTCACAGGATTACCTGCGCTTCATTAATTTCCGCACACGCACGCACTAATTTTATATAAAATGCAGCAACTGAAAATCCAGCATGTAAACAACTGCCGATAAATTAATTAGTTTATTGTTCCATGCCACTGTTAATACTTTTACGCAATCCTGATCAAATAATAAACAACGTTGCGTTCGTTTTTGTAAATAATCATTGACTTCAACTGTAACGCAACTGTAATGCATTTTTAATGAACTTTAAATAAAATCATATTTCCTAACTGTTTAAATAATAGATGAACATATTCAATTCTCAATAATATCAATGTTAATAAAAAAAATATTGAAAATAATTTTGAATAAATCAAATATGAAATATAAAGCACAAATAATTAAAAACCTCAATACATTTTATAAAATAACATTAAACCAACAAATTTAATAGTTTCCAATTATTCTGAATTTATAAATAAATATTAATAATGCAATTTAATTATTTGTATTTATAAGAATAAAAATGTACTAATATTTGTGAAATATTACATCTTTAAAAGAAAGTATAAATAATTATAACATTGAATTAATGACTGTTTTAACGTTATATATCGAGTAGAAACGTTCGATATTTATATCTAAATTGAATTATGCAAGTAGTAACAGCTTTACGAATTTTAAAATATATTCAAAAATAATTATTGAATCGAATTACGAATATGTGATGTGTATTTATTATTGAAAAAAAAACATTTAAATTTTCCCCATATACAAAATGGTATATAGTAGATTATTAAGAAATAAGAGAAAAAATGAAACGTATTATATTTGCAGTAAATATTTAGTGACTAAATGACTGCCAAATCATCAAGGCTATTTTTTTTTGGTTATATATATTTGCATTTAATGATTATAAAACGAACATACTAATGAATGACTGGTATGTAAATTTATAAAATAGTTGCAGCATTAAATTGCGGCATTACAATTTATACGATCAAATTTTAATATTTGATTTGCGTTACATAATTGTTCAAACAGCAACGAACGTATATAGAAATGATTGCTTACAAAAAAAGTAATGTATTTCGCATTGTTTTCAGATGTTTGTACGTAAAAACTGTTTCGCTTTTAATTATATCGAGCGTCAGTTATATTGGCGGAAGCGCCGGGTACACACGGCCGTGTTTTTAATTTTTAATTTAAATTCAAGATAGAAAAATGCATTTTAAGTGCCAATATGAAAACAAACTGTACTTTTATAAATATATATATATAGATATAATATGGAACAATTAAGCGAAATACACAAAGTTTCGCAAATGCAAATTTCGCAATAAAACTCCATTATCCTTGGGCCGAACAAATGAGAACGAGTAAACAAAATGTAATAAAAAAACAAATGCGTGTAAAAGGTGTTGTAGTATGTTGTGTTCTTAATTAATTAATTTGAAGAAACAATTCAGAGAAAAGAAAAAAAGAAGTTGTGTACGTGTTAATTTTGGTTTTTGTAAAAAATAAAATAATAATCAAGATAATAAAGTAAAATAATAAATCAACTAATGTGAGGTGCTCCAATTACTTAGCACAGGTATTTGTGTATATATAAATAGAGAGTAATAAATATAATAAAATCGCATGGCAAATACGAGTGCAGTGCTGATCAAAACAAATTAATATCCACTTACTAAAGTTTACGCATGCAATGCAAAAATCCACATTAAAAAATATATCTGTATTATATATATATAATATGCAATCACTCGAAACACACGCATTCCCACACATCACACGCATCACACCATTATCCTTAAATATTAATTATATTTTGGAGAAAGAGAGTGATTGAAAACAAAAAATAAACTCAAAATAGAAATGCAAAAAAACGGAAAAGGGAAAAGCGGCCCAAATGTTGCTTCGCAACACCGCCTTTCCCCTTTCGCAACTAATTTAAATGTTGCTGTTTCTTTGTTAATAAGTTTTTGTTACTCCCTCATCGATTTTCGAGATCTCTTTGGGGGAGTAAAGCCTTACCATACTGCTTCGTGCGGACGTGGATCGGGGGTGTGGTTGCTCCTTCTCCTCGCTGGGAACGCGCCGCTAGCCACACGTAATACAGGGTGTTCGGATAGAGACCGGTCAGAACGTACGATTCGGATACGGAAATTCGACGATGCAGTCTCTCCTTTGAATAGGTATCGTTCCAAAATACTTCGTAACTCACTATACTTTCACCAGAATGCGCCGGTTTGCTCCATTGTAGTGTCACCGCGGTTTCGCCGATGTCCGTCGCCCGTAAATTTGTCGGTTGACTCGGTACACCTGGAAAACAACATTAGTACAAACTTTCTGGACGCTGCTCAACACCAGCGACCTATTACAACTCTATTACAACAAAAAATAGATGGTCAACTAACGATGTTGTTCATCCGTGGCCATTGCTTTCCGAATGGAAACGGGTCGTTCACTTTTCCATTTGTAGCAACGTTTCATTTCTCTACAGATTTCAACCATAACAATATTAAAGTGAGGATGCGAATGACCCAAATAGTTTCAATTTTCCCTATAATATATGCACATCAAAACATAATACATCAAAAAATGATCTTTTCCTTAAATAAATCAATCAATTAAATGGTAATTTATTGGAAAAAGTCCTCAAAAAAATAAATTTAAAATTAATGTATATAAAATAGCGAAACAGGATAAACTTATCGACTCTATATTAGAAGTTGTTACTGGTGAGATGTGTCTCTCTGGGGGATGCGTATAAGGGTTGCCAATAATTTGTAACGTGCCTCGAAATTCATAGCAACGATAAACTTAATTGGTTTATCGATTTATTTGGATAATTGATGTGAAAATTTGAATTTCCATTTTTGTCAATATTTATAAGATAACTAATATGGTAAATATATAATATAAAAATGTCGTTCATAATGATAGACGACTAAATGTGTTTAAACCTATAATAAAGTACTAGTTTTGAAAGTAAATAAAATATGGAGCAAGGCAATAGCAGTCCATTTATTTTAATTGTTTAGAGATTAATTTGGTAAATTGATATTGTATGCGGCCCCGGGTAATTGGTGTTGTTAGTGGTATAAAATTTAATCAGAGGAGAAAGCTTTCGCATCAAAGCGTCCAAAATTAATCGCATTTACACAGCGGGGGCAGACGCCGGGGCGGCGGCAGGCCGGGCTTTTCGGTGCACCGGCCCCTACGGCATGGAAATAGAGAGGGGGCGGGTATTTTGAAAAGGGGGCCGAACATATAATATGGTCAAAACATTTACCTTGTTGTGTTTTGACGTGAACGGGGGCACTTAGCGGTCCGGGCCCTACGGAGGTGAACGCCTGTACTCTAATTGTGTAAATTGTGTGGGGCGTCAGTTCGCCGATTGTCGTCAGTCTATTATTATCGACGGTCTGCGACTTCCACTGGGCCATTTGCAAATACGAGTTTTCCGTGTAGTAAACTTTGTAGCCCTGCGATTACATAACAAGAGAAGAGAATAGAAAAAAAAATGCATTAGAAAACAGGCTTTAGCTAGGAGAGATGAGGTTGGTGTGGGAGCAAGGTGGTGTCTCGAAGGAAACAGGTGAACGTGGGGTGCCAGGAATTACGTCCTTCCACTTAAATTAAAGCGGAACAGCACTTACAGTGACTTGTCCGTTCGGCGTTTCCGGTTCGTCCCATTGCACCACCATTGTGGTCGAGCTTAATGGCTTTGGCTGAACATTCCTCGGCGCAGTTCCAGGTTCTAAACAAACGACACACACAAAAAAATCAACATACAATCAACAAATCTGTATCAATATTTGAAAAAAAGAAACGTAATCTACAAATAGAAGAAAAAATAATAAAAAACAAAATCATAGAAATCAAAACAGCTTGTGTAACAAATATATAATTATACCCCAATTTATTTATTACTTACTCAAATATTATGATAATAAACACAACATTTGATTGGCAGGTTGAAGAAACTATTCAATTACTATTTTTATTTCTTCATCATTTACTATAATAGGAGAGTTAAAGTAAGTTTTTATGCACGTATCAAATTTCTTCGTATACTTCAATTTTTTAGCGTGTTGCATTTCATTGATATCAAATACTCAAGAAAATAATATTACTTTACACATTTATATAATATTCTCAATACCAAGATTATCATATTTATATTTTTTTTTCTTCTGCAATTTTCAATTCAAATCAATTTGATGCATACTTAGAGTGATCAGCAAAATTAATAATAAAAAGTAGGGCTGAAAGAAGATGCCTCTCGGTGATTTAATTTTCGCCGCATTTTCAGGCAACTTTCCATGAAAATTTAATACGCAAACTTTATAATGCATTATTTTATCCCGCGACATATTTCTTATATAGCTGCATCCCGGAACTTTGTTTAAAGTGCGGAAGCGAAAGAAAAAATAATAGTGAAAAAAAAAAAACAAATGATGAGCGCTAAGTAAAAGAAAAGTACATTTAGAAAAAAGCGTATAAAAATAAATTGTAAATGATAAAAAAAAATAATAATAAAATTGTAAAACACATATGAATATCTTGTTTTAAAACTTACTGGCACCTCCAAAAGAAGAATCAGCTATGTTTGGGAAGAGCAAGAAAGAAAACAAAATGAATTAATCGTCGAGTATTTGCTGATGTTAACCATCTAAAAACGTCGTATGTACAAGTGGTGTCAACTACAAACTATTTAAAACAGAAGACTACTTTTGTATATTGAAGCGGGGTGAAGGAAACACACAGTTTTTATGCCAAAAAAATATAGTATAGGTTTGTACGTCTAAGGTTTGTGCAGCCGTTCCGCAAGGAAAGCGGAGGCTCCACACAACAAAAATCATCGTCAAAAATCAAACTTACATTAGGCATATGCATGTAATCAGGCCGTAAAATCCGTATGAAACATGGAATATATCGTCGGCATGAAAAAATATGGGCGGTTTAAATCAAAAGTGAACGAAATAAAAATGATTGATGATTGGAGGTCAGATCATTTCAGAGCGGAAATATGAACGCGTCATTGAGATGTTTTGCAAAGTTTACCTGTTTCGCCTGTGGTGACGATGGCTGGAGCGCTTGGAGGTCCTCTACCGATAACGTTGTGCGCGATTACGTACATCTCGTATTCAGTGTAGGGGCTGAGGTTCCTCACGGAATAGTACATGGTGATGATGCCAGAAATCTCGCTGTACGCCTGGTTGGCATATTTGGGCTTGAATTGGATCACGTAGTATTGGAGGTCCTCCTGGCCGTTGTAGGACCAGCTCAGACGCACCGAGGTCGCCGTGATCTCAGTCACTTTCAAATTCGTCGGTGGTCCCGGTAATGCTGCAATTGCAATCATCATTAGTAGTCGCTACCGAATAACTAACGAGTATTAAAAGGGTTGAAGATACGTACATTGTACTTTAACTTGAGCGGTGGCTTCGATTAAGCCCAAAGTACTGACGGCTACGCATGTGTAATTGGCCGATTCTTGGATGTCCTTCAGCTGCAGGGTGTTGATGCCGACGGGAAGGTTGTCGTCGGGCGTAAGGTCCTGCGACGCACCCTTCCTCCATTTAACAAAAGGCATCGGAGATCCGACTGCGACGCAGGTCAAATTCAGGTCGGCTCCCAGCATCACCTCGTTCACCGGCTGCGGGGGCTTCGAAAAATTAGGAGGAACTCTACGAACTGGAACAAATTGGATCGAAAGCATTAAACTCGACCGCACACAGCAGCACCAGCAGCAATACACTCTGCACCGAATAACAAGATGTGGATGGAGAATACGATTCCATACCTTTAACATATAATTGAGCTGATTTGGAATATTCCGTTCCAATCGAGTTTTCTGCTACGCACTCGTACTTTCCTTGGTCATTTTCTTCACTATTCGTTATTTGCAAAGCACCTATAAAAAAGAATTAAGAAAAACACATATCAGTTAACATCATTAAAATTATACAGTAATAAATTAGTAACACAGATAGAATCACATTTGTTCTCATTAAATTATTAATAATACAATTTTCAACTTTGTTCAATGTTGTGAATAAATTAAATTTTATATATTTCAAAGAATATATAATTTTTCTTAAATAATTCCTAGATAATTATCTTAATTTGTTTTACAATCTATTATTATGCATACTTTAATGTATTATTAAAATTCACGAAAATGTAACCCCTTGATGTTGAACTAAAAGTGTATTGTGTATTTTTTTTATATAAACGACATGGTAATCTGAATTTAAATTCATTATGTGCTATAATGAAAAAAAAAAATAAAAAAAGTTACGTGACCTTTTCCGTAGTATTTCAGAGTTAAAGGGTGTTTAGAGGCCTTTCCACGTGACCTATGCGATAGGTGACCGAAACAAATCTTAATTACATAACATTTTTGTCGCTACGAACAACACAAAAAAAAGGGGTGCGAACAATGAGTTTATGTTGTGCGTTTTTTTAAATTTTATATATATACATTTTCTTTCCGGGTATATTTATGAGGTGGCCATTAAGTACATAGGCGGATGATGTGTGAAATTTAAAGATGGATCCGCTTTTAGGATGCATTCAGTGTTAAAGTAACTATATTTTAAGAAGCATAATAAAGTTTGATATCGAATCGGCGCTGCGGGAAGTTGGGAAAAACACGGGGAAAGAATGAGTGCACACACCCTCTTTCACCGTTTCTGCTACAGACAAACTCCTGTGTATGTGTGGAGTGCGTTTTTTGTTATTTTGACCTTTTTTCGCGGTAGTCCGGGTGAAATTTTCCTTTTCATAAATTTTATATGCGGCGCTGGTTTCGGGGGTTGCGGTAAGATGTAATATAAGCTCCGAAACCTTCCGTACTTTCTCTTACTCACCCATTCACTCTTACTCACCCAGCCACCCTCTCTGTACACAGGAGGATGGGTTAAGGTTGCATATTGATTCGAAAACTCTAAGATCAGCAACCACAACACATTTCGAAAAGCGCCGATCACACAAAATCCTCTATATAAGTCGAAGTTCAAATCTAAGTGCTAATCACGATTAACCTTAGTCTATCTAAATGTATATTGGTAACATTTATTAGATTAGATTTGTATAATGTACATTTCTTTGAGGTTTCCTTTGATCTTTTAATGATACAACTAGCGAGAAAACTTTATCTATACAGTTTGTAATCAAAGTACTAATCACGAATAAACTTAGTCTACATAAATCTATATTGGTAATATTTATGTGATTAGATTTGTCGAATGAGAAAATGTAGAATTTATTGTCTTAATGTTTCTTTGAGGAATTTGGTTAAAGATCATTTAATGAAAAAACTTTAAATTATCTATAGAGTTTGTAAAGTACTAAAATTTACACTCAATCATCATCTTTAAAATATTGCATATTGATTTTGAAAGTCGAAGATGGACAAGAACAAACAGCAAGAAATTTCTAAATGCGCCGAGTCCATAGAGAGGCAAGAAAACTTGAAATTAATTTATTTTTGGTCGGCGCTTCGGGATTTCATTTAATAAATATAATATATTTTTCTCTTCAGGGTCGCTCTTCAAAGTTTCGTTATTATGTTTTCGCGGGATTGGGGTTGGAAAAAAGTTGGATGATCGCGTTGGATTGGGTCAGTGTTTCGTCGGAACACTCCTCCCTGACGGGATGGACTGAGCGAATTCTTCTTTAGGCGTTTCCGGCACACCTCCTCCCATGGGACCATTAGCTTCTTCGCAGTCTACGAAGGAGAAGAGACTCGGGCCGACCCAGGTCCCTGCTTTCAACGCACCCCGCGCTCTTTGCACTGAATATATTGTATCGGTAACATCTTTATGCATTCAAATTTCTACATGATCCAATTTTGTGCGTCCCGTCCCGCGGGGTTGGCTCCCGTTTTACTCCCCATTACTCCGAAAAAAACAAAAAGGGGTTAAAACGAATATACATATTTCGCGCGCAACGCGAACATATATATCAGCAATTTAAATGCGCGGAGCAATGTTCAAGACAGCAGACTTAATGTAATTTCGCAAAGTTCTGGCAAGAATAAAAGAAAAAAAGAATTTAAATACCTGGCATTTCATCCCTTATGGAGTACCGTGGATTATTGCTAGTGTCTATGGGAAGCATGTTTCGGACCCAGGTGATCCTAGGAGCCGGATCTCCGGTGGCATCACACGACAGCACCGTGCTGTGACCCACTTCCACCACTTTATTGGCCGACGGAGGCTGTCTTATCTTCGGGAATCCAGGCGGAAGTTTATCGGCTGCAAGAAGAAAACAGAACATAGAACATATTTAGAAAACTCATTTACTACACACACGCGAAAACACCAAACAATTTCAACATCAAATATAAACGATACGTTTCTGCTGTAACAATGAGAGCGAATAATGGTTGGTGGCGGCTGCGGAGGCGGCGGAGGCAGGGGGCGGACGGTTTGCGAATAAACCTACAATGCCATAAAGCTCATAAACTAACCGCGCAATCCATTTAATCTATTAACAAATTTCCATCAACATCCAAACTGCATATAAATCAAAGCATAAATTATAGATTTAGCTGTGAATTTATTGGGGGCTTAGTTACAGAGATTCGAAGAGCTTTTCCATGTTGTAAATAAATTTGGAAATTTGATACGACCGCCTATTTCCTCTAACTTCTCCTATCCTTCCTGTAGAGCCATTTACAATATATATGAATTATCATTTAATTTAAAAATAATAATAATATACATCTATCGCACGTATTATACGGTACTCGATTTACACCGTATGTTATTTACATGTTTTCGTTATTTACATCTTTTCGCACGTTTTCGTTATTTACATGTTTTCGCTTGTACACCGTTTAAAAAAAATAAAAATTAATTATTAAATGTTAAAAATAATCGATTTATACGTTTTCAATTATAAAAAAACCGTATTTTATATACATAATATTAAAAATACAGCTGTAATGTTTCGAAATTTCCATATTGTCTAAATGAGAAAAATTGATCAGTATTTTTGGATTATATTAGTAAAATAGCATATGTTTCAATTAATTAAAAAATTGAAAAAGAATAATGTTTGTCGAATGTTTGCAAGGATGTTTTGCCGCAGCCTTCGGTTATAAATTAAGAATACAGCTGGGATTTTATAATCCCGAAGTTACACGTTTTTTTTTCCACTCCCATCCTACTTCCTATCTCCCTTGTGCAGATTTGCATAAATATTAAAACATTGCAGATTCTGGATTCAATGAATTTAATTAAAAGTTCCAACCTCGTTGCAGGAAGAGCCTGTACATGTAACACACATACACACAACATATTTTTTTCTCTCTCTCCCTTTTAATTTTCGCATCCCGGCGAAAAGTATATTGTGTTATGGTCGGTGAACTTCTGCGTGAAAAATTAGATCACCAATGAATATAATAAGCAGCGCATCATGTGTATGCGCATTTCGTTGACATATTTTCCCTCATCTCACTCTATTTTTTTTTGCTGTGCGACGAGAGAGAGTCGAGGGAGGAAAGGCAATGAATAATACGTTGCGAAGAGGCCATTAAAAGGGCTTTTAGCTGCAGGGGCAATTCTGTGTATTTACTTGCTAGCTCATTACTCTTTGTACTTCGCCAATAATGTTGGGACACACGACCGCAGCATGAACACACCGGAACGGAATTATTTAGATTACATTTACATAAATCGAATCACGACCGAACAATGCGTACGGTGCAACAACGGTGGACTTTCTGCCTCGAATAACGCAATTAATTCTTCGAGCCATCCATTAATAATTCAGTCCAATTTTCGTGGAAGATACTGGCGATGTGTACTTTAGTCGGAAATGGCTACGTGTGTCCTCGAAACAATGCAGAAATTGTAATAACAAAAAGGAAAAACACGGGGGAGGGGGGAGAGAACATGTAACGGGTCGTTAATTAAAAGATGCATATTTTAGGGGCGAGCGCGAATTCATTAGGAAAACCCGATGTCGCGTGCATTAATTAAGCGGCACGTATTAATTTATAGAATAACTTTCGCATGTCTTCGCCTAGATTCTATTAAGATATTTATTAAAGCAACTTTTATAGTTGCGCATTTAAGTGCCGGGACGCAAAAAAAAATAATTGGTCCATGGGTATATCAAACACTTGCTTTTATTATATAACCGTTTACGTTCCTACTTCTTACACAACCTGTAAAATATAAAGTAAATATCATTCTCTACTAATACCTTTTTGGTTCCATCTACTCTCCATGTGCACATACCGTAAATTAGATCATGAATTTCAACTATAAAATTTACAACCCGGAAGCAGATTTATTTTTAAATTACAAAACCGAATAGTTTTTCTCAACATACTTATAAATCTACATTAAATTAAACTATTATTATTGATTATACATATTTATTAAAATATATTTTATATATTTTTTTAAATTAATAAGAAAATAATGTATTTTAAAATAAGTTTTCGTAAGTTGAGATGAGATAATCTAATTTTCTTTAAAGACTGAACGTTTTAGTATAAATTATTTGCAGAAAGAGATGATGCAAATGCAAATTATCGCCGCATGGAAACGTTTCAAAGGATCTGCATCGAATATTTTACCCGAAGTAAAAATATATATCCTTTTATAAGTTTCATGTCGGGTGATTTAGTTATGATATAAATTTGAGAGTTTCAAAAGGACAATTGGATAGGAAAGAGGAGTGAAAGCCGATACTAATATAAAAAGGATAATATCCCATGCGGCCGATGGGGACGCCCGTGAGGATAGAATTGGAGATCCAGTGGAAACGCAATAAATTACGATTATAAGTCACTCTGTTCGGAAATAAAACGCTACCAAATAATATCTATATATAAAATCGGACGTGATTCAATACTATTTCTTGAGAATATTTCTCTTCGATTGATGTTTTGATGAATACACAATTGAGCTGCAAAATAACTCAATTGGTTATTTGATATCATAATGTTTATCCCAATTTACTTAAATTTGAAGGTGCATGTAGATCTATTAATCATTGATAACAAGGTCGAAACGATCAAAATTGGATTAAAGATAATTAAGTTTTTATGTGTGAAAAAAATACTGCACGAAGAGATGGTGGATAATCAGTTTCCATTTTTGTATTCAGTGTTAACGTGTTTTATTCTGAAACATACGGGGGGGTCGGATGTCTGGCCATCTCATTTCCTGAAAGCTTCGGATATGACTCATTGATTGATGGCGGATCTACCTATCCACAACACCGGAATCAGTTAGCATCGAGCTCTCCCCTACGTACTTCCATTCAAGACCGCACCTATAGGCTTGTATCCCAAAATTAAAACACAAAAAAAACAACAAATACAAACACAATAATCCCTTTTGTGTACATGCAACACTCATCTATCATAATATAATTTCATTACATAATATTCACAAATTTTTTATATTACTTTATAACAAAAGCATAATAAAATTCAGATTATGAAACATTGATAAAAAAAATAAATTAATAATTAGAACAAAGTTTTATATAATATTCGGCTTTATATAATTTTGTGAAAGAAACAATATATAATAAGTGGAATTTTATTAAATTGCAGATTTCATTTTACAGTTAATAAATTGTCTTAAGTTCAGTCGAGTGATCGTGTGGGCAATTTCGACAACATTGAATATTTCAGAGAATACATAAAAGAAAACAAAAAAAAACTCAGCAGAAAGCATGGCACAAGCAAAGGGAAAACAACTTCGACAGACGAATATTAAATTTCATTTTGTTCCTCTTATCCGTTCGTTTTTTCTCCCCTGCATTTCTCCCTTTTTCTTATTTAATTTCGGTAAATAATGTTAAATTGGGTAAAGCTAATATAAATAAGTGCGAGGGTTCTCTTCTTCATCTCCCCACCCCATACTTTTTTTCTCGCTCTTTTCCACCCACACTCCATCCTTTCTTCTGCAAGGAAGAAAACGCTGCGAGTATTATTCCGGGCGAGCTTTTTGTTTGACGATAAAATAGATGATATAGTAACTTTTTTGTTTGAGATTTTTGCGTGGGCGAGTCGAGAAGGCGGACAAATCTTCGAACCATTTGCGAGATAGCAAACGTACAGTGGATGAAGGGAAAGGGTGGCCGGATGAGTTTTTTCATTATGGGAAGGATGGTTTGAGGAAGAGAAAAAGTGACGGGGAAGGGAAGGAGGGTGGCGCGAAGATGTGCCGCATCGGACGCGTCGACAAAACGGAAGTAATGTCCGTCAGTTAATTTCACTTGGCCCGTAAATGCTTTTGGCAAACGGATTCGCAATTATTTCACATTAGGTGTCGCAACCCTGCTTAAAGCGAATTTTTATTTTATGAGTAAACTGCGCAATTTATATGATTTATATCGAAGTGTTCGCGCGCATTTATTCCGAGTGTAAATCTGCCTTTGTTGCTTGCCGTTAAATCTTAATATAAATCCGTCGTCCAACCCCGCGCACGGATCTACCCCATGCGACATTGTCTGCCGGATGTAAATTGAGTGGATTGTCTTAGGTGAATGGAGATTCAGCGAGGCGAGGGCTTTGGGATGCGAACGTTGCGTGTGTTATTATTTGATCCTTCAGGTAGTGTGGGTGGATCAGGGGGTAGTAATTAATTAGCACGCGTGCCAGGTATCGGCCACGCGCGATCTTAATACCCCGGGCTTCGTCTAACTTACGATATACTGAGTCCCTTATAAACCCCTTAACTCATTTGCATCAAATACCCTTTTTTCTTCTCTTCAACTAACCTGGAGCTACTTAATATCCGTAAAATAATTTCGCATAAATCAGGTGAAATTTCTTATTAAAAGTACATATCTTCAGATGAATATGCATATTCAAAAATATATCTTCTGATTAGTCTTTATCAAAATGTGTCAAATTTATATTAAGAAAAACATACACAAAAAGTATTTAATAGTCAATATATTTATTTAGATATATTAAGGACATAATCAATTTATTGTTTCAATTTGCCCAATTGTTTAAGTTGTGGAAATTATAGAAGTATAAAACATCGTATCTAGACGATATCATATGAACTATAGACATACTTAAAATAAAAAATAGCTTTAAGTGTCAATAGAAATAATTAGATATAGGTTGAAGAGTTATTGGAGCGAGAAAGGAAACTGGTCTAGCATTAAGCGGCTTGGGTAGCTGACGGGATGTATTATCTAAATGTCGGAAATGAAGTTTATTTGAAGAAAAATCGCGTCGAGTAAAGTACGTGCCTGAGTGTGGAGGAGGAAG